GGATCCTGGGGGAAAACTATGGCCTGTGGTCTGGACATTACCCTTGTGACCTCTAGTTCCTTACTCAGCTACTAAGCGGTGTTAAAATCCAAGGGTGGGGTAGGGGCCGGAGAAATAGGATATTTTATTAGTAATTTTTCACTATTTTTTAAATGTATTTTTTATTTATTTATTTTTGTTTTTTGCGTTTTTCGCTTTTTAGTATTCACAAAACTGCCCCCCTTCTCAGTTTTCCACAGTGTGAGTCCCACATGTGTGCATAGTTTGTGCTTGTTGGTGTTTTATTTGTCCCCTCGTTAGGGTCATTTTGCTGTGTAAACCTCTCTGTATAGTGGGCCCTTTAACATGCGGAGGGAGCTTCCAAATCCGTGTCCCTCAAGGTGACTCTTGGTTTGTAGATGATTCGTTAACCGGGGGGGGGTTAAGGAGCTACCCAGATCCCCCAGACCCTCGTTTCACCCTCTGCACTTATCTGCACATATGTGCGGTCATGGCTTCTCTCCTCTCCAGAGGTGCTCTGTCGAGATCTCTGGAATGTGTACGTGCTCTGTGGCAATATATTCCACTCAGACGTTGCAGACTAATCAGGACCCCACCTCATGCCAGTCTTGCGGCAGGGTTGTCAGCTGTGGCCTCTCCCGAGTAGGCAAGGCAAAGTTCGGAGGCAGCTAAATATTTAGTCCTCTGAAGGAGGGGTCCGAATCAGCTCCTGGCAGCAAGGCATGGGCTTTTCTGTCCTTGAATGCCACCAGTTTAAATGCATGTCCCAATGTGTATCGGATTTCATGGCATCGTAGGATCTCTGCGGCTTGCTTCTATTGCATCCGGTGTTGTAGGGTAGCAGGCAACAGTTCCCTGGTATTGGATAATATAATCCCTGGAGTAATTGGCTACGGCTTCCTTGGTGGAGTAATAATGGAAATGTATAATTATATCTCTGGACACAGACCCCTCCGCTATCCTGGCTCTCAAAGCACGATGAGCCCAGTTGATCGCCCATCTCTCCTCTTATATATGAGGAATCAAATGTTTGAAAAAGTCCTCCGTCAGCTGTGTAAGCGGGCCTTCATCATGTGACTCAGGGAGGCCTCTTATGCGTAAATTATTCTGCCTGGAGTAGTTGGATAGGTCCTCTAGCAGCATCTCCAAATTGTTCAGCTGCTGTGCCATGGAGTCGGCGTGGGTCACTGCGCCACTGATTCCACCCGCTGCTCCAGGTCGGAGGTGGGCACCCCCAGTGCCTGAATCGCCACTTTGACCCCTTGGAAATTGCAGACTATTTCCCCCGTGAGGTAGTTTTTAACCTCTGCTAATTTAGTCAGAATTTGCAATGTTTCTCCCTCTGCCCGATCCAGCCCCCCGGTCATGTTATTGCAGGGTCCTCGCGATCACATGGCCAGAATAGCTGGCTTATGCAGTGCCCTCATGCCTGTAAAAAAGTTTTTAAAAGTAAAAAAAGTTATAAAACAGTTTTTAAATTAAATCAAAAATACTTATATATTTGTGGCATGACTGCTGCCTAACTGGGAATTGCCCTTTTTCTATGTGTGGATGTGCCCTTCTAGAATGTGTGTTCCCCCTTTTTAACTTACCCCTTTCTGTAATTTTGCCTGTAATTCCTGCACAATACCTTTTAACCACCTGGAGGCACTCCGGTGCATGGAACCTCGTGCACCGACCATCCTCATGCCCCATTTAGAATGTGTAGTTAGAGTTTATACACCTCGCTAATGAGATGTAAAAACCACAGTCTGCAAGTGTCAACCACGCGGGGGGGTTCCAGCGCACGGAGCCCTGTTTCCAGGACCACCCCGGCACTCCATTTAGAACATCTACTTAGAATGTTTGCACCTCACTAACGAGGTGTGAATACTGCATACCACAAGGGAACAAGCGGCACGTGCTTCCCCTGGGTGGTCGCCAGTTTGTATCACCGAATGCCCACCAGGGGGAGCATTCGGTTCCCGAACCAGCCTGTGCACACTGTCTTCGATCCAAATGTGTCGGGGATCATCCTACGAGTAAGCGCTGATTGGTCGCTGTGAAGAGCTAGCGACCAATCGGAAAAGGAGCGCTGTTCAAACTGGGTTTTGCACCCTTCCTTCTGACTGAATGGCGAAAGCCCTCTCGTCCCTGAGCACTGATTGGCGCGAATAGGTTTCATGCCTTTCAGAGGATTGGTGCAATCGGGTTTCACGCCCTGTCTTCTGATTGGGTCGTGAAACGCCTCTCCTCCTCGAGCACCGATGGTGCAGCCGAGTTTCACACCTTTTCTTCTGATTGGATGTCAAAACTCCTTCCTCCCCGGAATGCTCATTGGCGTGATTTGGTTTGGGCCCTTTCAGCTGATTGGTTGTTGCTTGGTTTGGGCGCGAAGTTTGAATTCACCGGACTAAACCAAGCAACACCATGGAACTAATTTTGGGGATATACAGAGCAGCGAGCCCCAGACTTTCGACGCTATCTTGGGCTCTGTACATTCCCTCATTTTTGCAGAGATCCCAGATGGGATGGAACCTCCGATGGGACCCGAGGCTATCTAGCAATGTAGGTCTCAACACTGTAACCCCTTCCCCAAAGTGTAACCCCCCCAGAATGTGTATCCCTGTGTACTGTTTGGTATCTCCTAGAGCGGGAGATGGTTATCCCCTGCCCTCTCCTGCCTGGCATTGTGTTGTGTTGGATGGAGACCCCCTGTGGGGGTCTGTGCATAAAAAGCTGTGTGCCCTAATAAAGATTTTCAAACGTTGTACCCTGGAACTGTGTGCCGTCCAGTTACTGGGGAAATGGGTCTGACCTACAATAATTATGTATATGATTGTTTTAGTATGTTCAGTTTTATATATTTGGATGCATTATACAGTATTTGGTTGTTTAATAAATGCTGTGGCCTGTTATATCCAAGTTTTAATGTCTGTCGTTATTTGGGAAATTCATGGTTGTTTGAGGGGAACATCTCATCCAATGCCCACTACGTACATATAAGGCCCCAGGGAGAGTACGCAGCTTAGTAGACAAGGGCACATGTATGAGTGTGGGAATGGATGAAACATGATTGGCTGTTTTTTATGTGTGGGAGTGTTGTATGTGAAGGTGGGTGGTGACAGATTAGACTGACCTCAGTGCCACTTAGGAGCGGGGCCAGCAACAGTTCCTGTGAAATTCCTCCTGTTGTCCATCCGATGCCCACTAGGTACATACATGTTTCAAGCAACTAATCAATTTAGCTGACCCAGCAGAAATTTCATTTAAAAGGTGTAATGGAAATATTTGATAATTATTACTCGTGTTCAGACAATAGAATAAAATTGAGGGCTTGTGTCTTATGCAATGATCTTTGAGCCTTCGCATACTGTTTGCTCTCCCTACCCTACTTCTTAAACTAGTTAATGTTGCAGCATGGGTAAGCATTCTATGCACAGTCATAGATAAGTACTGAAGTTTCATGTGTGGTTATATATTATATCTTTGCTAACTTCAATTGAACAATGGAACTTCAGCAACTGGTTAGATAAGAGAGTGCATCCGATGTAACAGCCAGCAACACCTTTATAAAATAAAACCTTTTCCAGATTGCTATTATTGCCCATCAATATTTGCCTAGTTTGTTTAGAGGGAAGTTTGGAACTGTTCATAAGTATTGTGCTTATATTGCTTCAAGAAGGAGCACACCATTTGAAAGTGAGCAATATAACTAAGGATAAATACTTGTCGGCTCTATGTGCTAAAATATTCAGGTCTTTCATTGTATAAATTGTTCACACATTCAGAGCTGTGTAATTGTTCATCCTCACATTTAGCAGAAACATTTAACACAGCAGAAAGAGCATTTAGAGTTGACCAGCATTGCTGTAACAGGGCAAACAACTGATTAATCACTTGTTTGATTCGTATCTTTTAAACCACGTTTAAAATTATTGAACATTGCAATAAAGAAAAAAATCAAGAAAAGGATCAGTGCTGATATACCAACAGGGGATACGGAAGTAAAATGTCTAGGCAGCACACCTGTATAAAGGGGATCCTCTCTAATCCCCTCAAAGTAAGTATAAAGGAAAAAAGAGAAAGAGAAAGGGTGTGCCTTAAAAGTAAGTGAAAATAATACTTATAAAAATGTCCAAGCAATACTGCAAAAGTCCAAAGTTGGCAGGAAGAGATCCTTGTGGTACAGTGGGTGGGATCTGTGTTCACAGATGCAAACTCGTTGTCCCAAAGTATATATCTGAAAGAAGCATAAGACGAAAGAACTCTAATGGGACAGTATGTCGTAATATAAGGTATTGAGTGTATAGTAATGAAACTACTCACAGTATCCAGAGCTTAAATCCAGCTCTGGTTTGAATGGCATGAAGTGGAACAATCCCCACTCAAGGATATGTGAAGCTTCTCTAGTATTCTTCAGTAGGATAGTTCGGTGGGATAGTCCAGCTCGGGATGAGAGAAAAGAAAATATATAGCGCTCCTGAATAACTATTAGGGATGATAAAAAACAGGATAAAATATATTCACGGTATATTGAGCAGACACACTGCTCCAATAAAGACCTATCTACTGTTAGTGGTTTTCAAGGTGGTTTGTATGGTGCATGATCTGTTAGTATTGCACATGTTTTAATTGGCTCAATCAACTTATTAAAAGTTAAAAGGTTTTACAGTCATGTAATGCATGCTTACAATGCTTTAATACATTTACCTCAATTTTTTTATGAACAGAATTCAGATTTTATGTCAGCGATTCTAAGTACACATTGTAAACATGTTCTGTTATTCTTAGGGGGATATCAACCAGCTGCGATCAGATATTTTTAATACACACATAAGGTTAACATTATATAATTATAACTTTCTGGGAAACAGAGCAACAAAAGTACCGTATAGTAGCCCCAAGACACAAGAACATGTTACTTGTTTTAGGATGCCTTTATACGTGGTGACTGTATAAATAGAGAGAAGTTAATTCAGGCTTCCTTTACTAAGACTCAGCTGCTGAATGTTTCGCAGCTTTATTAGAAATATTATGGCCCCAGAATAATTACTGCATCACAATATAATTTATAATCTGACAGAACAATGCTAAAAACGGCAGCTTCTATTTTTTCATTTGAAGTTTTGTATGCTATTATTCTTTATTTTGCACCTGTTATCAAAAGTTTAGTATCACCATGCAAACTTCGGCTAGTACAAACATTTGATGACTTTGAATATTTTCAGGATGGAGACATAATTCTTGGTGGAATTATAAGTGTGAATTCATTTGCAGAAGATCATACATTTAAAAATTATCCAATAATTGTATGTTTCAGGTAAGTTACTTTCTGAAAATAATAATTTCTCTTGTATGTTATTGGCTGGGAAAATATTTGAAAGGTTATTAAGGGATGATATTCAAGAATTCCTTGAGAAGAACATGGTTATCAGCAAAAATCAGCATGGTTTTATGAAGCACAGAACATGTCAAACTTGATAGATCAGGGTATTGCAGTGGATGTAATCTATTTGGATTTTGCAAAGGCATTTGATACAGTACAACACAATAGATCAGTGTTCAAATGCAAGGAAATCAGTCTTGATGAAAATTCTTGTTTTTGGGTAGAGAATTTGCTTAAAAATAGAGTACAAAGAGTTGTCATTAACCCCTTAAGGACAGAGCTTCAGAAGCTTGTCTTTCACTTAATGACAACAGCATTTTTTGCTGTTTGCGTTCAACTGCAATTTGCATTTTACCAATTTAATGCACCGACAAATATTATATATCGTTTTTTAAAGGACAGAAAGGGCTTTAATTTGATGTAACACACATATATAAAAATACTGAAAAATGCAAAAAAAAAGAAATTGTTTTTGTTATTTTGTACAGTTATTGCAATAATAATGTGTGCATAATTAGTGCAGGTTAAGGAAAGTAATTAAAAATAAATTCATTTAGTTGTTCTGATTTACAGAATATATAATGTGTCTGGGATTTTAAGGTTTTTTTGGTAGTTACAGGTCACAAAGCACAAGGAGTAAAATAAACTTTTAATGTGGAGGGATTTTAGACTTTGGTATGTTTGTCTTGTAAGCTTAATAGCCATAAAAGAAAACAAAATTGCCACACAAAAGTATATATTTATATAATGTAGACATCACAGGCTATTTACACTTTCTACGTAGCCATTTCACTGCCAACCTCTGCTAAATATTGGAGTAAAATTGTTTTTTGACACACAAACTTATAACAAAGAAATTCTCATATGTATTTTGTAAAGTTGGTGTGTACTATTCCTGTACAAAGTTTTTTTTTTGTGTTCAGTTACATCTGCTGAGTAAAATGACACCCCCATTGTATGGCACTATTTCATGAAGTTACAGTGCCATATAGAAGGCCTGTTCTTTTCAGTATTCACAGTAGAATTTTGAGAGACGGATTTAATGAGCCTATGCTTCCATTTGGCACTATTTCATGAAGTTACAGTGCCATATAGAAGGCCTGTTCTTTTCAGTATTCACAGTAGAATTTTGAGAGACGGATTTAATGAGTCTATGCTTCTATTTGGGGTATTATAACAGTTTGTCTGTTCAAAAAAGCCCACAAAGGCCTGCCATTTGTAAAAGTAGACACTCCAGGGTATCTCATAAGGTGCATATTGTGCCTTAACATGCCCCCATTTTTTCACCAATATATGCTAAAGTATGTGGTAAAAAATAATTGTGTGCGTTTTTTACACATGGATTGCATTTTTGCTGGGCATTGTGTATATTTCACATGTGCCACTAAGTTCAAACCCCCAAATTATGCTCGGCTAAGTCTTCTGAGTAAAAAGACAGCCCCAATGAATGTCTTTGGCACTATTTCATGAAGCTACAGTGCCATATTGGAGACCAAGCCATATCAGTTTTTACCGACCTTTGAATTTTGACGCTGGGCCTATGTGCAATTTCCAAGCATCTTAGTAGGGTTTAAATTCAAACTACCCCACAAAGGCCTACCATTTCTTAAAGTAGACACCCCAGAGTATTTAGCGTGGGATCATTTTTCCGCTAGCTTGTACCAAGTGTAGTGGTAATAAGCATTTTTTCTGCCTTTTTGACACACAAAGCGAGTTTGCGCAGTATATTTTGCAAACCTTATGTGTACTACGACTGTATACTACTTCATATGTTGCTCAACTATGTCGGCTGAGTACAGCAATACACTCGTATGTACCTTTGCCAGATATATGTGGACAGTGAAGGGGTACATTTGAGACACAGCCATTCCAGTTTTTTTCAAACTTTGAATTTTTACGCTGTGTCCATGTCCCATTTTAGAGTATTTTACAAGGCTATATAACCCAATTACCCCATAAAGGCATACTAGTTCTTAAAGAAGACATCCCAGGGCAATTCAAAAGGCATATTTTGAACCTTAGCGTGAGATCATTTTTCCGCTAGCTTGTACCAAGTGTAGTGGTAATAAGCATTTTTCTGCCTTTTTGACATACAAAGTGAGTTTGCACACAATATTTTGCAAACCTAATGTGTGCTATGACTGTATAATACTTCATATGTTGCTCAGCTATTTCAGCTGAGTACAGCAATACCCCCGTATGTACCTTTGCCAGGTATATGTGGATGTTGAAGGGGCACATTTGAGACACAGCCATTCAGTTTTTTTCTAACTTTGAAGTTTTACCCTGTGTCCATGTTCCATTTTGGAGTAGTTTAGATGTTTGGTAATTGAAACTTCCCCACAAACACATACTATTTATTAAAGAATACACACTGGGGTAATTCAAAAGGCATATTTTGAACCTTAGCGTGAGATCATTTTTTCTCTAGTTTGTTCCAGGTGTAGTGGTAATGAGCATTTTTAAATGTATTTTTTTACTTTTTGAAACTTTTTTTACTTTTAAAAACTAGTTTTTAAACTTTTGTTTTGCTTATTAATTTTTTTTTAACAGATTTAACATTTTTCTAAGCTTTTTTTTTACCATTAACTCCTAACTAACAGTAAGCAGCACTAATAGTAAATTCCCCATTTTCCCATAACTCCCACCCACCCCAGCTAGCAAAATATATAATTATAAAATATTTTAATTAAATAAATTGAACCCCTGAGGGTTAAAAAATAAATTAAAGTTAATCCTCAGGGGTTAAAAAAAATTAGATCGCAGTATAATACTGTGATCTGTATTTTGATCACTGTAGGCAGTGATCGACTGGCAGGGAAGGGGTTAATTTTTATTTGTACTTTTTTTAGATTCATTTTTTACTTTTTAAAGTTTATTTTAAAACTTTTTTAACGTTAACCCCTAGTTAGCCTAACACCAAATCCCCCTATTCCCCACTAACCTCCACCCACCAAAGCTAGCTAAATATATGATTTTAAAATATTTAAATTAATTAATTAATTAATTAAATTTAACCCCTGAGGGTTAAAAAAATAATCAACCCTCAGGGGTTAAAAAAAAATCAGATGATAGTAAAATGTAATCCCTGCCAATTGATCACTGTAGTCAGTGATTAATTGGCAGGGAAGGGGTTAATTTTTAATTAAAATGAGTAAAGGGGGGGTGGGATTTTAAATAAACTTTATTTTTATTTTTTTAACAGGGGGCAGTATCAGCACTGTTCTGGCTCCCTGCATTTCACACAGAACCAGGAAGTGCAGGGAGGCGGAAGGTAAGTATACTAAGCACATGTGCTCGCTCTGACATGCTGTCAGAGTGAGCACATGTGCTGGGGCAGTCAGATAGGGTGCGCTCGTTAAGGGGTTAATGGTAAATTTTCAAGCTGAGGTGGCAAGTGGTGTTCCTCAGGGTTCTGTTCTGAGACCCCTTTAATTTAACATGTTTACAAATGATCTTGAAAAAAGCATTGAAAGTCATGTTTCAGTGTTTGCAGATGACACAAAACTCTGTAAAATAATACAATGTGAGCAAGATATTACTTTGCTGGAGAGGGATTTAGATAGACTGGGGGACTGGGCCCTCAAATGTCAGATGAAATTTAATATTGAAAAATGCAAAGTTATGCACTTCGGGGTAATGAATACACAAGCAACGTATACCCTTAATGGAAGCGAATTAGGGATAACAACACACGAAAAGGACTTGGGAATTGTTATAGACAACAAACTATGCAACAATGTGCAATGTCAATCAGCAGAGGCCAAGGCCAGTAAGGTATTGTCATACATGAAAAAGGGCATTTATTCTCGGGATGAGAAGAATATCATTTTGCCTCTTTATAAATCACTGGTAAGACCACATATTGAATATGCTGTGCAATTTTGGGCACCTGTTGTAAAGAAGGATATTATGGCACTAGAAAAAGTGCAGAGGCGGGCTACAAAATTAATAAAAGGAATATCAGCTATGAAGAAAGGTTAACAAATTTAAACCTATTTAGTTTAGAAAAACATTGCCTGAAAGGGGATATGATAACATTATACAAATATATTTGGGGCCAACAAACCATTGTATGGAGGTCATGCGTTTAGACTGGAATAAAGAAGATTTTGTCTAAGGCAAAGGAAAAGGTTTTTTTTTACTGTAAGAAGAACAATAAGGATGTGGAATTCTCTGCCTGAAGAAGTGGTTTTATCAGAGTCCATACAAATGTTCAAACAGCTACTAGATGCATACTTGCAAAAGCAGAATATTCAAGGATATTATTTTTCAATGTAGGGTAATTACTGCTTGATCCAAGGATAAATCAGACTGCCATTTTGGGGTCAAGAAGGAATATATTTCCTAGCTTGTTGCAAAATTGGAAGTGCATCAAACTGTTTTTTTTTTTTTTTTGCCTTCTTTTGGATCAACAGCAAGAAAGAAATGTGAGGAAGGCTTAACTTGATGGATGCAATTCACTTTTCTGCTATGTAACTATATAATATGTTATACATACAGTGAGGGGGAAAAAGTATTTGATCCCCTGCTGATTTTGAATGTTTTCCCACTGACAAAGAAATGATCTGTCTATAATTTTATGGTACGTGTATTTTAACAGTGAGAGACAGAATAACAAAAAGAAAAATGCATGTCAAAAAAGTTATAAATTGATTTGCATGCCAATAGTGAAATAAGTATTTGACCCCTTCGACTTAGTACTTGGTAGCAAAACCCTTGTTGGCAATCACAGAGGCTAGACGTTTCTTCTAGTTGGCCACCAGGTTTGCACACATCTCTGGAGGGATTATGTCCCACTCCTCTTTGCAGATCCTCTCCAAGTCTTTAAGGTTTTGAGCCTGACGTTTGGCAACTTGAACTTTCAGCTCCCTCAACAGGCCCAATTAGG